TAAAAAAGTAACATTTTGGCCTATGAAAAATCAACAAATCAGAATTCATTTTTGAAATGTTTTTGTTGAGCAGATAAACAACATAACAAATACTGAATACAAGTAATTAATTTTATGATATGGTTGTTGCATTTTGTTGCATTTTGGCATAGTTCAAATACCAACAGCTTTAAAATTTCATTTATTGGCTTTAATAAATTATTAGACTGTAAATATATGCATACAATGGAATTATTTGCAAAAAGATGTACGATAAACTTGTCTACTGCTTACACTGAAAAGGAACTACCATTATTCTATAAGGTAATAATAGTTATTACACTCATTTTATGAATTATATATATTTTTGTCTGCAGAGTTGAACCAATTATAACTTTTGAGATGGCAGAAATCTGGTGGCAGGAAAGACATTCATGGTAACAGGACAGACAACACGGTAACAGGAAAGACAAAATATTTTGCAATTGCCAAAACTATAATAACTATTTCTGTGTTCTGTGTTTCAGAAGTAAAGGTAGTCAAAAAAAAGGGAAACTCAATGAATGTGCATATCAAAGTGCTAGGTGTATTTTGTATGTGACATTAATTAGATAAAAATGTGAGGTTTGGTAACAGCACAGACAAGCAAAAATTCATAAACCAATCTTATGTGGAATTGCTCATCTCAAAAACAGAACTTGATCAGAAACTCTACCAACAACCTTAATGGCACTTTTTGAGGTTATTGCTGCTTATTCCAAGCAAAAAGCTGTAAGGAAACGAGAATAGTCAACTTTCAAAACTTCAACAGTAACAGCACAGACAAAGTCTGATAACATATTTGCACTTTTACCAAATGATAGCATTTGAGATAACATTCAGTAAATCATTCTTGACCTCATTCACGTGCACATATAAACACAGGTTATTGTTTGCCATGAATTATTACCAACATATCTTCCCACAAAGAAGACTCAACACAATAGTCGGAGGACAGTGATATTTTGGAAGGCTCTGGTACAAAGCTAACTATGTCCTCAAATTGGTACCATCATTTGTCTTTAAGTTTGCGTGGCCAGAAGAAACAATTTGCATTCCCGTGCTTTCCCGCTTTATGCATATATTCCACAAAAACTTCACCTAGCTCTATATCTTCAACATAACCAGGATATGTTCCCCCACTCAAACACTCCATTCTGTCAGCACACACCTCCACTTCTCTCATTCCCCCACTCATACACTTCATTCTGTCAGCACACACCTCCACTTCTCTCTTCCCCCACTCATACACTCCATTCTGTCAGCACACACCTCCACTTCTCTCTTTTCCCCACTCATACACTCCATTCTGTCAGCACACACCTCCACTTCTCCCTTTCCCCCAATCATACACTCCATTCTGTCAGCACACACCTCCACTTCTCTCTTTCCCCCACTCATACACTCCATTCTGTCAGCACACACCTCCACTTCTCTCTTTTCCCCACTCATACACTCCATTCTGTCAGCACACACCTCCACTTCTCCCTTTCCCCCACTCATACACTCCATTCTGTCAGCACACACCTCCACTTCTCTCTTTCCCCCACTCATACACTCCATTCTGTCAGCACACACCTCCACTTCTCCCTTTCCCCCACTCATACACTCCATTCTGTCAGCACACACCTCCACTTCTCTCTTTTCCCGACTCATACACTCCATTCTGTCAGCACACACCTCCACTTCTCTCTTTTCCCGACTCATACACTCCATTCTGTCAGCAAACACCTCCACTTCTCTCTTTCCCTCACGCATAGACACGGTGTTTGAAGTGATCATGTAAAATTACTTTAATTTAAAGTTGCTAAATATGTTACATTTCTTAATTATGTACAACAGTAGGGCGAGCAAATTGAATAATTGTTCATTATTTGTGTCAACTTGGTAAAAAAATCCTAAAATGTCTTTGCTGTCACTGAAAAGTGTCTGTGCTGTTACTATTAAATGTCTGTGCTGTTACCAAAGTTCTACTGTGCAGTGTAATTAGTGTTTATTGACCCAAATATTAATGGAAATTCAATTTTTCCTGTAACTAACAAAAGCCTAAGAGATAGAGTTTTAAAGACACTGAAACATTGAACAAAACTTTCTCAAAATCTCTATTAAACACTAAATGTCTGTGCTGTTACTGTTAAGTGTCTGTGCTGTCACAGTCACTCATAGACACGGTGTTTGAAGTGATCAGGTAACATTACTTTCATTTAAATTTGCTAAATATGTTACATTTCTTAATCATGTACAACAGTAATGCGAGTAAATGAATAATTATTCATTATTTGTGTCAACATGATAAAAAAAATCCTAAAATGGCTTTGCTGTCACTGAAATGTGTCTGTGCTGTCACTATTAAAAGTCTGTGCTGTTACCAAAGATCTACTGTGCAGTGTAATCAGTGTTTATTGACCCAAATGTTAATAATATTCAGATTTCCATGCAACAAGCAAACATACAAAATACATTACCATTCATGTTTTCTTTGTCTTTTAATATATATATGTTGAAACATTTATTGAACACTATATGTCTGTGCTGTCGCCTAAATATGTCTGTCCTGTCACTTTTTTTAAGGTGACAGCAGAGACAATAACAGGAGAGACAAACTATGACATAATGCCAGCTTAGGACAATAGCTTCTCTCTTGCACTGAAAAAAAGCACACTGGTTGAGTTCCATTCTGACAGTCAAATATACTCATTATATTTGATTTTTTTAATAACAATTTCGGAACCCAAAATGCATGGTGACAGCACAGGCACCTACAAAAAGTACACATCAAAAGACAACATTTACCACTTATTTTGAAGACACTGCACCAATATAAATTGCTTGAGCATATGGTGCCATGATAGTACTGGAAAGGAAGAGACCTGCAAAGACTTTTACTCTGGACAAGATCACTGTTTCCAAAAATAATGAATCCAAGTGGAAAACCAACAGCTTTTCTGCTGTTATCAGCCTTTCATGATGTCATGCTACATAAATCACCAGGGCTTTGGAAAGTATTTATTCCCAGAGACTTAAGATAATTTGAGAAAGTTTGATTTTTTATTTGTGGACAACAAGTTTCTGCACATTTCTGCACATTTAAGGTATTTTGCCGGCTAACATAAGGTTATAGCAGTAATTTTATCAAAACATTGTATACATCTGATAGGTATCTTCATTGTCAAGTAATCTGAAAACAGAATTATGAGTTGTTTTCAAGAAAATTCATTTGGACAGGAAATGTTACTTTTTTAGAGAATGACCCATATACTGCATTTTTTTTCACATGACCTAATTACAATATTTTAAGAAAAGATTAATCTTTCTATTCTAAAGGTTAGAGTTTGAATTCAGTGCTTTATGGGAAACAAAATCTGTCAATTTAGCTATTTTGAATTTAGTCCATATGTACATCCTACGTTCTTAAGAATTAATTCATATTTTAAGATATGTATTAAGTATTAAAGAGTTAAATAGCTTTTCTTAATAATTGAATACCTTTCCATCAACCGCACCAAACTGTTGGCCACTCGTTTGTGTTCTGTTTAATATATATATGTTTTATGTTTTATAATATGTATGTATCTATCACCTGGTGTGATCATGTAGACAGGATTTCATTTGGGTTTCTGATTTTGACAATTACTCCATAAGCATACTGAGTATTGGTGCTTGGGGATATAAAATGTAACAGTTTGTTATCAGAGGAGATTGATAGTGAACTTTTAGTACCAGGTAGATATGATATCTGTAGGATTTATATCCTTTCTTTCTCTTTGTCAAAGGATTATGGGTATATGTGTGGGTAATCCTCTCACGTTAATGGCGGAAAGTCACTCAACCAGTTCATGTTTTCTACGTCAAAGAAGACCAGAACCCGGAAATACAGTCCGGACAAGTACAAGCAGCCACACATACACGCACACACACGTGCGCATGCACGTCACTATATAATAGCAATAATCTTGGACGCGAAGTTAAACCCAATTTAATCTCACCTCACCTAAAATATATGATATATTAATTACTGACTGACTGTCTGACACTGTTGATATTCGTGCTCTGGGTTTGTTCCTCCGCAGTACCTTGTGCACCGAACACGAAAAGCTCAAACATTGACTAAGGTTATACAAACACAGAAAGGACCACGCAATTATGGTAGGCGGTTTGCCAAGGGTATAGGTTTTAACAGGGAGTTTAAGTACGTCTTATCTATTCGCTGAGTTAAAGGTATATATAAATAGTCACAGTGCTGCCCAATAAAAGTTACAACAACAGCTTTGATATTATATGCATGGCCAGCAGCACGGGGTCTATCTGTCTGTCTGTCTGTCTGTCTGTCTATCTATCTATGACCGCCTCCGTGGTCTAGAGGTAGAGCCTCCGCCCGGAGAGCGCAAGGTCCGGGGTTCGATCCCCGGCCGCGTCATACCAAAAGACGTTAAAATTAAAGATGGTACTTGTTGTTACCTTGTCTGGCGCTCGGCATTAAGGGGCTAAAACAAGGACTGGTCGGCTCGGAGTCAGTATACTGTGTTTGAGTGGGGTATTCATGTTAAACTGCGGCATGGTATCTCAGTGGGCTAGCACTATAAATCGGCATCAGTCCGGACTAGCACAAGCAGCCACACACACGTGCATGCACGTCGCAATATAAGTGCAATAATCTTGGACGCGACGTAAAACCCAATTTCACTTCACCTATCTATCTATCTTTCTATCTTGGCTGTGAACTTTCGGGAGTGACAGCAGCTATTAAAACTGGCAATGCTATAATTGACATAAAAGTTGGCTGAAATGTCAACTATTTATTTCTGGACATACTTGAACCGCAGTTAAAACGAGCGCGAGTAGTAGCCTATTAAAATGGACATCATTAACTTATTTACATCGGCTCCAGGCGAATTTACTTTGACAACATGCGAGAGACTTATAGTGTTAAAGGGGCAGAGTCACATCGTGACTCTCCTTCATCTGGATGCTGCTGCCCGATACAGGCGTGTATATAAACTGCGGCAATCTGTCAGCAATTGATTATGCCCAAGGTTGTATTGAGCATCACTGACACATCCACATCACAGACAGTTATACTATTTCAGACGTTCGGCCAGGTAAAATTCAACATCTATCTATTTTCACGTAAACTGTTCAGGTAATTTTTAGCCTATGTACATGTAAAGTACGATCTTGATTCCGGAATTTTGCAAAATGTTTATGCTTTTACAGGTTTTCACTAAAACCGTTGAGCTAATTTTTAGCACATGTGCATTTTTAAGGTGGGATCTTGATTCCGGCATTCTTTGCAAAATGTTTATGCTTTTACAGGTTTTCACTAAAACTGTTGAGCTAATGTTTAGCAGATGTGCATTTTTAAGGTTGGATCTTGATTCCGGCATTCTTTGCAAAATGTTTATGCTTTTACAGGTTTTCACTAAAACTGTTGAGCTAAATTTTAGCACATGTGCTTTTTTAAGGTGGGATCTTGATTCCGGCATTCTTTGCAAAATGTTTATGCTTTTACAGGTTTTCACTAAAACTGTTGAGCTAATTTTTAGCACATGTGCTTTTTTAAGGTGGGATCTTGATTCCGGTGTCACGAAATATATTCGCCCCCAGAATAAAATCTCCCCCCGGCGAATTTATACCGGTACAGTTCCGCCCCTCTCGAAATAAACTCTCCCCCACCCTACGAAATAAAATCTCCCCCCAGAATATTTCCTCCCCCGGTCGTTTTATAAATACTTGCCATGCAGTTGCCAATAGTTTTAATGTTAATTTGTTTATGTGTTTTTTTATTCATTTTTTTTTATCTCCTTTATTTTTTCTGAATTATACATTTAGTTACTTGTGTGGGGTGTGGGGTGTGTGGTGGGGGGTGGGGGGTGTCCCACCTTTCCTTTCGTTTTTCATAATATTATATTTTTAAGTTGTATATAACGTATGAATCCCTTCTCAGATTACTTTATCTCAGTTCTATATGACGTACTATTTTACTTTTCTGTGTCGTTCTTGTTTTCTCTTCAGTGTGAGGTTAAACTGTATCATTTTTACTATTTTGATATTTTGCAATATGTTGTGGTCATCAGTTATGCAAATCAGTTTCGGTGTGTCTTTTTAACAAGATGTTCTTCATTAATATTCACCGCCAGCCCCATTGTAACAATTACATGTACACTTTGCTTTGACGATGCCGGTTGATGTTGTTCAATACAGGTGTTTTTGAATCTATTCTACATGCTAATCATTTCGGGAAGATGATACACATTATCTATATTTTGGGTTACTTTGCTTATAAAGATTAAACATGTAAACGTACGCAGTCTTAGTAGATTTTAAAGTAGATTTAATCAATGCTGAATTAGATAGTTATGATGTTGTATGTTTAACAGAAACCTGGTTGCACCATGATATTCTAGCCCCTGGTATTACACTGATACCATTTTCAAATGGTAGCCTGTATTAAGGAATATATTTTAGATCTTTAATCAGAGTATAACGGCGTGGATATGTTGACAGTTTTTACGTAGTTAGTGTTAAAACCGAATGTTTGCGAGGATTAATAAGATCTCTGAAATCAGTTACATCAGTAGTTCCGGTGTCACGAAATATATTCGCCCCCAGAATACTCCCCCCCCCCCCCCCACCCCCCCCCCCCACCCCCCCACCCCCCCCACCCCCCCCACCCCTCCCGGCGAATTTATACCGGTACAGTTCAGCCCCTCTCGAAATAAACTCTCCCCCACCCTACGAAATAAAATCTGGCTTGTGTTGGGTCCGAAAGTTTATATCTAACATTTTTGAATTGAAGACAGTGATAAAGTCTTATATCAACATGTGGACAACACTACACCATAAATGAACTGTTTCGATTTGCCAATGGAAATACTACACCATAAATGAACTGTTTCGATTTGCGCGGTTTCACCAACCGTTCAAGATAACTAATACTCTCTGTCAAATGCGTTCAACGTGTAAATGCATTTCATACCTGATATATATATTGACATGGTCCCAGCTGGCAAACAAGACTTCTAAGAGCTTACTGTTGCGGCATAACTTCATCTTTTCATCGGAGGCAACAGATTTTCAGTGATCCATTAATATATTTGTACCGCTATTGTCAACGTTCACGCCAAAAGGAATTTTTTCGTTGGAAAATCGAACTTGGTTATTCTCTATTATTGATGTTTCACATTTCTATGGTTGTTTACGTTATGAGTATTGGTTCATAACAACATCTGGTGTCACATGACACAAAACAATATGTGTATGCCTGAAGTAGATAATATTTTATTCAGGAAATAATAGCTAGAATTGGTTACCCGAACAGACTAAATGGTTATATTTCCCTTTAATATAACAGTGTTTCAACACACAAAAATGTTAAACAAACACACGTTTGTGTTTACCGTTATACTTGCCCATGTAGCCGTCGTATACATGTAAATATATAAATGTTGTGTACAGTCATGGGTGGAATTGAATACAATATTGAAATAAGGAACGTGTTCATGAGGCGAGACATTTCAAAACAATATACAATCTGAAGTGTTGATTATCTTCTTTGGTTGACTGCAAACTACAGTTTTTACACGTGCACATACCTTAGCAACATCATAAATAATATATATTTCATATTTTTTTGTTATCTATAAATACCCACATCTAAAATCAACCAACATCCCTGAAATACAATTTCACGTAGTTAAAATTATAAATCTACTCAATAGAATACAAATGGGTCCCAGAACGATGCTTGATTTCAGGACCAGAACTTAGGCAATCTAGACTTGTCAAATCATTCTTTACTTGGAGTCCGGTCGTTTTATAAATACTTGCCATGCAGTTCAATAGTTGCCAAACACTTCTGATAGAGACGATGTTGAGAATGTGGAGTGAAAAGGGCTTCACTTTGAGCACTGTGTTTTCTTTACTACCGCAGTATGAGACAATAAAGTGGTATATAGGTGGATATAATATTAGTCGTTAGATATAAAGAATGTTTAGTAACTTAAGAAGTTCTAGGACAGTTATTAACACATGTCGTGTCAGCCCTATTACATTCGCGATTGTCCACTTCCAGAAAACATCCTGTGTTGGTTTAACATGAATTAGTAAATGTTAATTAGGGATGCCCATAACGTTAATTAATGAAAGACGAGTAGTCAAAACACTGTCATTTCCTGCCCAGGACATCACACCCCTACACGCTAAGGTCGGTGAGAAACATTCTCATAAAAAAACACACACACAGTCAAGACTGTAGATTCCCGTCGTCTAGCTACAAATCCCTGTGATGTATTAAAGGTTGAAGAATTTTGAACTGAACTGTCCGAAAGTTTATATCTAAAATGTTGGAATTGGATACAGTGATAAAGTCTTATATCAATATGTAGACTCATAAATATTGGTTTTATGTTTTAACGGAGATATGATATTTTCTTATGAAATATCGCGTATTAGAGTAATTTGCATGCTTTACCATTCATTGTACCATTCTAAACCATGTGAATGTTGTATGTCAGTCAATCGGGTGAGAAAACAGCCCAATCCTCGCTCTATAAAGGACTATGTCAATCATTTTGCAAGTTGAAATGACCCCTGATACTTTATGAATACTTTATAACAGTTTATTCATAAACTTAATGCTTCGTACTATAGGCCTGTGGCCTCTTCAGTGCTGAATAAAGATTGAAAATACATCAGTCAATCAAAGATGAAGGTAACTTTATACATCAGAGTTCTTTAGAATTAGTTCATGTTTTGTTCTTAGACTAACATTTCAACCATCGATTGTGTTCACATGTAGACTCAAACTGGTATATTAAAAAAATGTATACAGACAACAACAACTGTATTAGAAACAACAAGTTCTGTAGAGACTCATGTCTCCCATCCTTTGTTTGGTATGATTATGTCTTATAATTATTTTAGGATGGAAGGTACAGTTACCAAATAAAATATTCTGAAATATCAATTCATTATGACCATATTTCATAATCTATTTTTTAAAGTAACCCTCCTTACATTAAAGATAACTATTTAAAGAATATAGTACTTAAAGACATTGCAACAAACCGAATAATCAGGGGGGAGACTTTATACTGAGGGGGGCGCGAAATATATCCGCCCGGGGGAGATTTTATTTCAGAACAGATTCGCCGGGGGAGAATCTGTACCGGTATAAAATCTCCGGGGGGAGAATTTGTACGGGGGAGAGTTTATACCGGGACACCGGCATTCTTTGCAAAATTCTTTTACAGGTTTTCACTAAAACTGTTAAGGTACGTGTAAGTTTTATCGGTTCTTGTAGGTGAAGAGTTTTACCGCTGCACAAAAGTACCATGTGAATCAACGTTTACGCGTTTGTACACATGTCGGCTAAACAATTGGTTTATAATTTTCACACTTATGCCACCGTCTTAACAATCCGCCATTTTATTTTCCTGATTTTGAGAAATTGTGTGGAAATTAAGAATGACAAAAAATGTGTTATTTTGCGTCCTAATTGGATATATTGCTTGTTAAGTATCTCTGTGAATTGTAAAACGACATATCTCGTATTTAATTTAATCTGCAACAAATACATCTACATAGCTAGAGTATACGCAGAAAATATTCAGTTAATATTTAGATAGAATATATAAATCTAGTAGTGTACAAATAGAGGCAAATTGAGGCAAGCACATTTTGAGGCTATATTTTCATCTGTTGAAGCACCATGTGATTCTGACTGCTTATATTCTGAAGATCTTGACAGCATAGAATATATCAATCTAATAGTGTACAAATAGAGGCAAATTGAGGCAAGCACATTTTGAGGCTATATTTTCATCTGTTGAAGCACCATGTGATTCTGACTGCTTATATTCTGAAGATGTTGACAACATAGAATATATAAATCTAATAGTGTACAAATAGAGGCAAATTGAGGCAAGCACATTTTGAGGCTATATTTTCATCTGTTGAAGCACCATGTGATTCTGACTGCTTATATTCTGAAGATGTTGACAACCAGCCTTCCACCAAAGAAGATGTAGACATTTTTATTCTAGAATTACCTATCACAGCTACAGAAATTCAAGATGCAATTTCCATCTTAAGACTGAGACAACTGCTTGTGTCGACCAAATTATATTTGAAATGATCAAATATTCTCTACCTAACTTCTTGTGAGATGTTTCAACCAAATATTTGATGTGGGTGCTTTGCCTTCCACGTGGACGAAATCAATTATCGTCCCCATATTTAAAGATGGAAATGTTTAACCCTAACCCAAACAGCTATCGAGGTATTTCTCTAACTACTAGTTCAGGCAAGGTAAGCAGTTATTGAAAAATACCTAGCATATAATGAGCGTAAATTATATGTTGCCTTTGTGGACTTCAATTGAAAAAGGCAACCTATTCTGTAGACAGACAGCGATTTTGGAAATGTTTACAAAAACACAACGTGGATGGAAAAATGTATAGAATACTGAAATCAGTTTACCAAAATGTTAAACCATGTGTTAGTTGTGACGACGCTGTGACTGACCTTTTCGACTGTCCAATCAACATAATCCAAGGTTGTGTATTGAGTCTTATACTATTTTCATTCTTCATCATTAAACTATTCAATGGCATTGCACTTTTTGGAACACATGAATTCCAATTAATTTCTGACATAACAGAACTATTGATGTTGCTGTTTGCGGATGATGTAATTCTTATGTCAGGCACCAGATCAGGGTTACATAATCAATTTAATAAATATATAAATAAATTTATCAAAAGGAGCAAAGCAAGTTTTCTGTCAATTGCAGTCTCTTTTGCGTTAACATGGGGTTGTTACATTTCACATTTTCTTTAAACCTTTTGATTGTCAAATACAACCGATCTTATTGCATGAGGCATACATTTGGGGCTGTCGAAAGTGTTATTGTGTTGAAAGGTTCAACTGTTCGCCTGTAAAATATTTCTTACTGTGGGCATGTCAACTCCAATACTATGGTTTATGGTGAAAGTGTGAGGTTTACACCATACTTTGTTATACTAGATGACTACGCTTCTGGCTGATGCTATTATGTATGCCTGGATATCGTTTGGCCCCAAAAGCCTTTAATATGCTTGTGTACCTTGATGCTATTGGGACGTCCTCACGTTTCTTTCGTCGACGAATTGTCCTATTGGTTTTTACAGAATGACAAATCGAATTCATATGCCGGCCAGTTGTCCCAGCATCCCACGACTGTTGACAGCTTGCGGTGAATGATATTGATAAAATGAAGCTGAAATCTGTTGCCTCATTCCAGGCAGCCCAACGTGAGCTGGAACTCAGACACTATCATAAATAATATACTTCAACCTGTTATCAATCTTAACAAACTCATGAAAAAATTTCAAACATTTTGTGAACTATTGATACCAGATTCAATAGCTTTAATATCCGCCAAGTGTTTGTGACGGGTGCAACAGAGGGGGCAGGATACACTCACCTTTTCGCGAACACCTGGTATCATTACTATTTGATAGTGATTTATAACCACATGATCATGATTTAGTCCGAATTGTACAATCGAATCTTTTTAATTGAATATTGAAAGGGTTTCGTCGCTTTTATTAAAACATAGATCATACTCGTAACATAGATCATCTGCACCAGGAGAGGAATTGTTTGTTTTCGACTTGGCACCTTTAAATTTATCGTATGAGAAAGTGGTGTTTAAATGAGAGTTTCAGTCAGTCAGGTACAAACGTGGTTTTATAAGATTCTTTGAGTTCTTTGAAATCCCCCAGGAAGTTGTCAGAGCAACTAACTGTTTTAATTGTTCGACTATTCTTTTAGCCTTTTGAAAGTTGGTCACTATGCTGCCGTCTACGCCTATAACGGGTATAGGACACCGGATATAAGTACCGCTGATACTTTTAATTCTGGACCAAATAGGAGATAGAGGAGTAAATCTATTTCGACTTGAAATGTTGCAACAGCCACAAGGAAGAGAAGTATGAAAACCCCCGTTACAGTCTTGTTTCCTCGTTTTGATTGCATTTTCAACTTCATTGGTCCACCACACTTTGGGAATGAAAGAAGATTGCTTACTTGACGCATTTCCAATCACAGACCGGGATGTTTCAATAATTGTGAAGGGGGCATGGGTGGCCCAGTCGCCTAAGGCGCCGCGATTCGATGTGCAGAGTTGCGTCCCTTGGGCACGCCAGAAACCTATGATTGTTGGTTCGAATCCCGATTCGCCCCGATTATGTTTCTAGGTTTGTCAGCACCATACCCGTGCTCGTGGGTTTCACCGAAGTGGTAAACGTCTGAGACCTGCATGTAGGTGATACGCTTTGGCCATTGACACATAATCCAGTACACTGTCTTGAATGGTTTATTTTATAACTTCAGCATAGATTGATGAATACATTTTGATTCAGTCTTGAATCATTGACAGATATTTTGTATTATGTCTTTCCTTCAAATTCCTTTACTGGCCCTTTAATTGTAAGGCCTATTGTTGACAGGTACAAGCTATAATAAAAACAAATGGGAAATATTACAACTTGTAACTAAGGTAGTAAGTACATGTTATGTTATTTTCAACATTATTTTCCGGATTTTAAACGAAACATCTGTGATACACACTTCAACCTTCTCAACATGCAATTTACCCTTTTACACCATTTACATTTGTTATAGCATTGCTAGTTATGATTTACATGTTGTTCCTTATATATATTGTTAATACTTACAAATTTTATGGGCCATTTACACCCTACACAAGTTCATGTCATTCTGCTTACGTCCACGTGCTTGTCCATGCACTGACTATAACCCGGATGATTAACCAGGACAAACCAAAAAATTAGAGAACTTAAATGAAGCTCTCATAAAAGAACTAAAATGACTTATCCTCACAAGTGGTAGCCTACACTGCATCACTTCGGGCTTTCCTCCCACATCAAGCTGACACGCCGCGATATAGCTGGAATAATGTTAAAAGCGACGTTAAACCCAACTCATTCACTCACTCACTCACTCTAACATGGATCTCTTTCCAGCAAGTCAGTATGAGGTTGGCATCAGGACGATTGGTGTTATTGATGCTGGGTCTGTGTGTGTGCCTTTGGCTTGTGACACGGTATGGCAGTCGAACGGACCATTATGAAATTAGCATGCGTTCACATGGATACGTGTCGGGATCCAATACAGCGAAACTTGGCATTCGGTGTGTGGGAGCAGGACCACATGAGGTAGAAGATCTGTTCTGTATGGTATGTAAAGGGTTTGGTTTATTTCTGCAATCATATCGGGGAAGAAAGTCTACACTTTCTATTAAAGGGCAAGTTCACACGGAAATGAACCTATTTTTCTTGTACTTTTTCCACATTAAAAGTGTTAACCTAGAAGTGTCATAGACAAAAATATAAAAATATCATAATTAATCAACATATTTTTCGCATTAAAGCTATTTATATTTTTCACATTTACCAAGTGTTCTATTTCCATAACAAAAACACCATGACTTATGCCCCTTGCAATATGACGTCATTGGTGCCAATTGATAAACATAATGACGTCATCATGCTTTGTTAGAGCCGCTTCACGTGGTGTAGGTACATGTGTGTGATTCTTGCGTCTCAGATGCCAGCCAGCATAGTGTTTTGCTGAGTCACCATTGCGCCGGAGTGTGTCGTAGGCCATGTTGTTTTACCGCAAACTGGTACTTGATTTCTTTTGCGTTGAGAATAGACAGGGACCCAGTTGAATTGGCACCAATTACGTCATAATCTAAGGGGGATAACTCAGGCCTGTTTAGCTCGAAAAACGAAGGACTCATAACGGCATATCATTTTCACACTATTGTGAGCTTCCTACTTTCATTGTGAAACAATGAGTGCATATTTTCAAACACAGATACTAACTAATTCTAAAATTGCGTTTTGTTTAGAAAAAGAAAGAAAGTAACTTTTGCGTGTACACTTCCCCTTTAAGGAGATTGATGGCTGATAGCGATTCCATTCCAAAGAATTGTTCAAAACCCCTAATAATATATTCATTAAACTTTGCAAATATATCTATCACTTGCTCTAAAAGTGCTTTATGCTTTTCACACTTTATTTAAAAGGCCAATATTGTTTTAATCATTTCATTCAGATTTAGAAATAAGCTTCTATTTGATTTTTTTATAATCGAGTCCGATTTCCAACAATATAACATGTTAGGTGAGGTGAAATTGGGCTTAATGCATTTTTTATAGCGTAAGTGTGGATGCTTGTACTAGTCTGGACTAATGCCGATTTTATAGTGCTAGCCCACCAAGATACCATGCCGCAGTTTAGTATGAAAACCCCACTCAGACACAGTATACTGACCAGTTCTTGTTTTGGCCAATTAATGCCGAGCGCCATGCAAGGTAAAAACAAGTACCATCTTTTTGGAATGACGCGGTTGGGGATCGAATCCCCGACTTTCGGTTCTCCGGGCGGACGCTCTACCATTAGACCACGTAGGCTGTGAACAATAGAACAGTGATCACGCTGAAACTTTGTGTAGATAATAATAATTATAATTATAATAATTATAACAATAATAATAAGTTGTGTTAAACGCCTAAGATTCTTTGAGTTGTGTTTGACACCACTCTGTGCACATTCGCTATTATTGGCAATACTTACCGAAATAATGAAATATTGTTCATTAGAAACTAGATCTACTTTATCAAATGCGGTGATGTTTCACATGAATTTTTGTGAGCATACACTTTCGTCAAGGATATTACATTGAGACCATACTGTCTCTCACACCACACAGTCCACATTAGACACTCAATTAACTCAATTAAGATTTAACGACCACATCAAATTAACCAGGTTTGTAAAAGAGCCTCAGAAAACATCACGATCTTTGTTTCCGGACCATGACTGCACAAACACAGAACACTAACTGAAGAGGTGAGGTAGATACACATATAGAGGACATTTAATTGCGGTCATCAAATCGCTGTTTGTGGTTGTAAGAGTACATATTCTTTGTTCATTTTTTTGTACCTAGACTAAAGATAAGTTGGTAATTTAGAAGAAGTGTGTTGCACACTTGTTAAACCTCCGAAGAATAAGAACAGCATGTGTTTTCAGATTTACAGCGTTGTGATGTTTTCAATTTTCACCTGGAACCAAAATTGTTATATGCTAAGCGTCCATGTGTGTTTGTTTGTTTGTTTGATGTTTAACGCCGCACTCAGCAATATTCCAGCTATATGACGGCGGTCTGTAAATAATCGAGTCTGGACCAGACAATCCACTGATTGACAACATCAGCATCGATCCACGCAATTGGGATCTATGACATGCCTCAAGCAAGTCAGCGAGCCTGACCACCCGATCCCGTTAGTCGCCTCTTACGACAAGCAAAGTCGCCTTTAACGGCAAGCATGGGTTGCTGAAGACCTATTCTACCCCGGATCTTCACGGGCCCTAAGCGTCCATGAAGTGGATGCCTCCTTTACGAATCATGCCATATAAATACCATTAATGATATGTTTTTGGTAATACTGTCTTATATCATAGGAAAGACCACGACATCTGCCGGACTTTAAGAACCCCTGCTGGTACACAAAGGAGGAGGGAAAGTTACGTCTCAAGTGCATCCCTTACTACCATATTCTGGGTGTGTGCAAATCGGGGACCACCGACCTCGCCTACCGCATAAGGGCCCATGAAGACGTCCTCGGATGCAATAATTGTCTCGGAAAGAAGGAAAGTTTTTACTGGTGCCGTAGAAGATATGGTAATTCTATCATTACATTAATACGGCTGTGTATAGATGTATAGACGGGTGTATGACTGGAAAGGATTTTAAGCACATTGATTTTCAAAGTGTATTGGAGCATATATGCCAGAACATTGAGTGAGTGAGTGAGTTGGGTTTAACGCCGCTTTTAACAGTATTCCAGTTATATCACGGCGTGTCAGCTCAATGTGGGAGGAAAGCCCGAAGTGATGCAAGTCTCAGACGATTACCACTTCGGTGAAACCCACGAGCACGGGTATGGTGCTGACAAACCTAGAAACATAATCGGGGCGAACCGGGATTCGAACCCACAATCATAGGTTTTGGGCGTGTTCAAGGGACGCAACTCTGCACATCGAATCGCGGCGCCTTAGACGACTGGGCCCCCCATGCCCCCCCATGCCAGAACAGGTTGTTTCACAATAAACATACCTCTCCGGCAAATGTTGGTAGTGCACAAATAGTAACAGTAACGGTTACTTTATCTGGAATAACATAAATATAAGTGACAAGCTTTCCCCAGAACCATATGAATTATTTGCTCAAAGCAGAATCTGTTAAAACATTCCGACTCTAAGATACGTATAAGTTTTATGAGTGAGTGAGTATGGTTTTACGCCGCTTTTAGCAATATTCCAGCAATATCACGGCGGGGGACACCAGAAATGGGCTTCACACAATGTACCCATGTCGGGAATCGAACCCGGGTCTTCGGCGTGACAAGCGAACGCTTTAACCACTAGGCTACCCGACCGCCCCTATAAGTTTTATGAATCACTATCAATTAATGATGATATTAAGTGTTCGCGGAAATGTGTGTTAGAAAAGGTTGTAGGTGTCCAGGAAAAAGTTGGAACAGTACTGAAACCATTGCAATACTGTACGATTACAAGTCTTGGGGATAAGGAGTTTCACAGAACACCCGTTAGAAAACATATGACGTCAAACTGAATTGCCCAGACATTAAGAAGGGCAAAACAACTAATATAAACCGTTGCGTTGGAGGTGAGGTGAAATGGGGTTGCACTTATATAGCGACGTGCATGTACGTGTGTGTGTTTGTGTGGCTGCTTGTACTAGTCCGGACTGATGCCGATTTATAGTGCTAGCTCACTGAGATACCATGCAGCAGTTTAACATGAATACCCCACTCAGACACAGTATACTGACTCCGAGCCGACCAGTCCTTGTTTTAGCTCCTTAATGCCGAGCGCCAGACAGGGTAACAACAAGTACCATCTTTTAACGTCTTTTGGTATGACGCGGCCGGGGATCGAACCCCGGACCTTCCGCTCTCCGGGCGGACGCTCTACCACTTGACCACGATGGCGGCCTTCGTTGCGTTGCAACACCCACACCCCTACCCCCACCTCGAAAATGCAGCGGACATGTTTGTCATGAGAAAAATATGTCATTGCAGCACAAACAAATATTTATCATTTAACTTAAGCATTTATCCATGACATAAGCTTATGACATAAAAACATGTATGTCATACCCCAATGACATAAGTATGCAAATTAGATATGCAAATTAGATAACCGGAAGAGCGAGCGGTTTGATTTGAAACTATATATTATAAGTGAAGTTACACCAGAGATATAATCAGATTACACAGAATCGTTGTTGTTACGGTTATTAAAGTTTCAATTATTCTGCAAAAGTCTGTTCAAGTATTTTGTTTAAAATAGTCCGAGGAACCTTTTTTTCTCAGCGAATTGTTTATTTTGGTTTACATGGCTATGGAAAACATGTTTCACTACGCACGATCTATACGTAAGATTTCGACAAGTTGCTGATGTTAATGTTTAATGCAATTATTCCTTAATTTGGAAGCAAAAATGTGAAAATGATAAATAGAATTCACCACTCGTGTTTTTTAATATTGGAAATATCAACCTCGTCCCGTTTATCGGTATTTGCCTCGCCAAAGGCTCGGCAAATACCGATTAACTAAGACTCGGTTGATATTTCCCATATTAAAAAACACTCGTGATGAATCCTCTATTTATTAAACAATGTACTAACATGGTACAAACCATCGATATTTCAAATCGCTGACGTTTCCACAGGTTATGAATTTTCCATGAAAGAGAGGATACCCTGCAACTTCAGCTGCTTTCAACATATGTTTGCTGACGCTGCGCAAAAGATAGAACAGACAACTACGGAAACAGGCTATCACAATATGATTACAGGTAGGTGCCCCTGAATATATTTCCGAATTATTTGACACTTTGAAAATTCTCCCATAATCAAGACATTTGACAGAGGACACCAAAGACGGTCTGAAACCATTCTGCTTATGTATAGAATTCCACATCCCATCGATTATATATTCTTCTACATTTAACTTGATACATATAAATTTATAACGTCAAGGCCAGAGAATAACCAGTCTCAGATATCTGAACAAAAAATCAATTGGGCGTAAAGGGAAAATGACTGACTGACTGATATAGGAGATTTAACGTGCGCTTTCCGACTGTAGCTTATTTCGCACACGGGCCTGGCCGGACCATTTAGTGTATTGCGAAAAGGGTGAAAGTGGTGTGTGCAACTCAAGAGGGGGCTTTTAGGGGTTGCTTACATTGAATTTTTGGAATTTTTAAATTTGGAATAAATTAAAGGGAAAATACAGCGGTCAAACTTATATAAGCGGATCACTTAAAATACGTGATGACACCAGGTGTTCGCGAAAAGGGTAAGCCTACCCCGCCCTACCATTAGCTCCCGCCATTCTCCAAATTTGCTCTAAAAAGTATATGCGTGCTGCCCGACACCGCACCGCAGTACTCAAGCCATGCGACGGTGGCAGGTAAACAAACCCGATAATCAAGTGATGGACCCACACTCCAGTCACACGATAGAGAAGTTTTAAAGTGTCGGCCGAAACATTTCTTTTATAGTTGTCTCAGCATAACTGATAAATGCTCAGGGTTAGACCACCAGCAAAAAAATCGACCCAGTTCAAATAAACATAAAGCGTCAACTCCAGAGAATAACAAGTTTCGATTAACCAACGGAATATAAAATCAGCGGTGAAAATCTTATGAATGGATGACTGAAAGAGCTGAGTGATGACACCAGTTGTTTGCGAAAAAAATCTGTTGTATCAATATTGTACTTATCAAAGCCATGTACGTCTGTCAAAGGTAAAGATGTTTTTAAAAAAGCGTTATTTTTCACCTTTTGTTGTCTCTGATCGGGGTCCAGTCGTCGACAGCTACGGAAATCGCATGCCAGAAACCTATGGTTCCAGGATCGAATCCCGGTTCTTGTGACGATTATGTTTCTCCGTTTGTCAGCATTGTTCACCTGGGTTAAGTGGTTTAGTGGTAAAAGTCTAAGACTTGCATCACTTTAGCCCCCCCCCCCCCCCCCCCCCAATCAAAACTGACAAACTGACACGCTGTGATATAACTTGATTTCAACAAACTCGTAAATGCCTTGGACTTGCATCGCACTAAGATCGGGCGGCCTCCAACATGTAGCTAACACGCCATAATATAACTAAAATATTGTGCTCAGCGGCGTTAAAACAAACTCACTCACTCCATCACTCACTCCATCACTCTCCCTATTCGTCTAGGTGATGCAACTCCTTCAGATTTTAGTGATTTCCGAGGATGGCCAAAAATACCACAAAATGCAGGTTTAGAGAAACCAGCGGTTTTGACACCCCATCTTATGAGACACGTGTATACAGATCCGAAGTTTATTCTCATCTTCAGAAATCCAACTGATAGGTAGGTACCTGTTTTTTGTTTGCAGACACAGGTCTATTTTGTACAGTCGCATACTGTAGTGTAAATGAGTTAGTGTATGATGTTTAATGCTGAAGTTAGTAATATTCTCTGTTGAAATGCGATTACCTGTTAATAATCGATTGGTTGGTTGGTTTGTTGTTCAACGTCGCACTCAGCAATATTCCAGCTATATGACGGCGGTCTGTAAATAATCGAGTCTGGACAAGACAATCCAGTGATTAATATCATGAGCATCGATCCACGCAAATGGGATCGATGACATGAATTGAGCAAGTCAGCGAGGCTGACCATCCTATCCCGTTAGTCGCCTGTTACGACAAGCATAGTCGCCTTTACGGCAGGAATGGGTTGTTTAATAATCGAATCACGGCAAGGCTAACTAGTGTCCGGAAGCATGAGCAAATATGCAAGCCAGCCATGGCTTCTAATCAGCGAAGTCACAGAGACTCACCACATGAACCCCAGAGCAAATACGCACGCCATGACTTCTAATCAGTGAACTCACCGGGACTGCCTCTCATAGCAAATACGCATACCAAGTCATCTAATCAGTGAACTCACCGGGACTGCCTCTCAGAGCAAATATACAAGCCATGGCTTCTAATCAGACAACTCACAGGGACTGCCTCTCAGAGCAAATATGCACGCAATGACTTCGAATCAGTGAACTCAACAGGGACTGACTCCCAGAGCAAATACGTATACATAGACATCTAATCAGAGAACTCACCGGGACTGACTCTCAGAGCAAATATACACGCCATGGCTTCTAATCAGCGAAGTCACAGGGACTGACTCTCAGAGCAAATATGACTTCTAATCAGTGATCTCAACAGGGACTGACTCCCAGAGCAAATATACACGCCATGGCTTCTAATCAGTGAACTCACCGGGACTGCCTCTCAGAGCAAATATGACCTCTTATCAGTGAACTCAACAGGGACTGACTCCCAGAGCAAAAACGTATACATAGGCTTCTAATCAGTGAACTCATAGGGACTGACTCCCAGAGCAAATATACATAGACATCCAATCAGTGAACTCATAGGGACTGACTCTCAGAGCAAATATACACGCCATGGCTTCTAATCAGAGAAGTCACAGGGACTGACTCTCAGAGCAAATATACACGCCATGGCTTCTAATCAGCGAAGTCACAGGGACTGACTCTCAGAGCAAATATACAAGCCATGGCTTCTAATCTGCGAAGTCACAGGGACTGACAAACTGACCCCCAGTGCAAATATGCACGCCAAGATTTCTAATTAGCCAAGTCACAGGGACTGGCCCTCAGAGGAAATATGCACGCCATGACTTCTAATCAGGTATCTGATCCTGATTTGAGTTGACTCTTACAAGCATCAGGATTTATTCTGAACCGGAATCCACAAAGGGAAACTGTATGCAAACATTGGAAACAAATATTGAAATGTGACCTAAGCATGCCTATTTTTCTTGTGACGTATGCGTTGAGACTGTAACTATAACTTACCTGTCATGGAACAAAGACAATTTATATTCCTTATATTCATAAACGAGGCGGTCGGGTAGCCTTGTGGTTAAAGCGTTCGCTCGTCACGCCGAAGACCCGGGTTTGATTCCCGACATGAGTACAATGTGTGAAGCCCATTTCTGGTGCCCCCCGCCGTGATATTCCTGGAATATTGCGAAAAGCGGCGCAAAGCCATACTCACTCACACACTCACTTTAAAAAAAACCTTGTACATATTGATAGATACAATTTGAACCAACCTTGACATCGCCAATGCCTTTTCCTGCATCGTTTTAACATGTTTAGAGAATGGCCATTACACCTTTCTTTATCATAACAAAGAAGCAAGTGTTAAGTTTAAAGAGAAATCAAAATTGCGGCGGCTGCATCGATAGCTTCCTGAAATCGGGTTTGTGAAATCAAGGTGGCATATGAGGTACTAACTGTACTTTCCAGGTCACGACAATTACTGATGAAATAAGCACACTCGAGATTTCATTAAAGTTTAGTCAGAAGGAAAACATGACCTCTTAGGCTTGAATATGACAAACGTTTATTTCATAGGCCATATGCCAAAAACGATATACACGGGTATAATTACTGTACTGTGACAGAATGCGAAAAGGAAATTGTAAATATGATGGCATTAATACGAATACACAATATATCTGTTCAAATACTTCATATGTTCAAATGCGTAAAATATGACCTTAAAAATGTCAATGAAATACGATATTTATGTTTCTGGAAGAATGGTTTGAACACCAAAAATACTTGTTCATAACATCCTGACCTCTCAAGTCGGCTTCCGTATTGATCGTTTACGTACGCGTGTGCCATGTGATATGATTGCAGGTTATATTCTGACTACATGATGATGGGCGGAAGATCAGCTGAGGATTTCGACAAAACTGTGAGAAAAGATATTCAGACCGAGGAGACCTGCATGAAGAACCACACGGTGGAACAATGTCTGTACAGCCTGGACATAGCACGAACACTTCGGGTAGGACAAGTTTGGTATTACATAAGTCTGAAGCACATTCTCACAACTGACGAAATGTTATCGCATATTACAATGTCTATTCTTCTTTCACAGACTCGGATTTTCTTAGGGTTCTATTCAGTTTACATGCGAGAATGGCTGAAGGTTTTTCCTAGAGAGCAATTCCTTATCTTGCGAACAGAGGACCACGATGAAGATCCAAAAGCTCAGCTGAGAAAAGTGTATAACTATTTGAAACTGAGTGAGTTTTTATCTTTTTTTTCCCTTTCCGTAAGTAAAATCTTTCCAACTATTGACCCAGAAGGGCGATGCTGAGTTTCATGATAACACAATCTTCATTTTATGTTTCGGATACATCAACATCCTGGATCGGCGGATCAACTCTATCAATACTATCATACACATATCCCTTCGTCAGGACAACTCATTCAAAGAGCCATTGTATTTCAGATTATACAGAAGACTGGCTGACGTCCATCGCCAATATGCCCCATATGCGGGTCAGTTCGAAGAGCATTAGTGAAGGACCTATGCTTGAAAAGACCCGTGTCTTGCTGGACAATTTTTACAGCAGATACAAGCAGGATTTGGCAAATCTGCTACAGGATAAGAGATTTCTGTGGTTGACATAGTTTAAATGATATAACATTCAAAAAAGCAGTTCAAAGGAATACACCCGTAAAACAATTATTACTAATTCGTTTTATCGTAATGGTGGAATAAACATTTTTACAGCCAATACAAGCAAACGGACCCGGGCCTGGTAATCTGGTATTCACAACAGGATATCTTAGCCTCTCCGTTAGGGGCGTACTTGAAACAGTCCACCTACCAGCAGCTTGCGTGGATGATGATGCAGCAAAGACAGTGACCTACTGGAGTATCCTGAGGCCACTTGGAACATTGTTCATTTAACCAATCAAGTTTATTGATTAAGCTTCGGCCCAGAACAAAATAAATAAAAATTTCATTTGCTCAGGCCAGCAGATGATTGAAGGTTATTCTTTTACATGCATTTCAAAAACGCTTCAAGTATTTTACAATCTCCTCGAATATTTAAAAACACATTCACTTGGGTATAGGCAAAACCTTTGGGTATTGACTTGTTTGAAAAGATACATTTTGAGGGACAATTTAATTACGTAACGTACATGTACATATCAATTTTGCAGTGTAAACATTGGATACTGGATAAATCTTACCTATGTTAGGACATGAGGACCAGAAGGTCATGGACTTTCAAATTTGCATTCTGAATAAGCAATCCATTTGTTTAAATGATACGAATTTGGTTGGCCTAAATTACACAATAGTGCAGTTTGAGATGCATCGGTTGTGAGGATGAAGGGTTTGTTTTGGTCAGGCTATACAAGAGTGGGGGAAATTGTAATGACTTGCTTTAGGTTTTCTAATACCTGTTCACAAATGTCAGACCCTTCGGAAGATGCGTCTTGTTTTAACATGTTGTGTAGAAGGGTGGGCGATGCCACAAAAGTATTCCCAAATTTGAGATAATAAGTTGCTAAACCTAAGCAATGAAGCCCATCATGGACCTGTTCAGGGAATGGGATTTGATTGACTGTATCTATGTTTGAAGGATCTGTACATGTGCGGGTTTAGGCCTGCTGTGAAGTGAGGCCTGCTTCTTTGATTGTTTTGAATATTGCCTTGATGTAGTTCAAAGTACCTAAATGGTTTGCGAGAAGATCATGTTAGCCGTATACATGTATATGGAACTATAACGCCAAACCATTTCTGTTGCTTGATGGATTGATGACGGCCGATTTGTGGAGTGGAGTGGAGTGGAGTGGAGTGGAGTGGAGTGGTATTTTTCCAAAAAACACACAAGCACAATCAAAAGCGAAAACAGCTATGGACACAAAGATGGCATTAAGCACACATCATAAAGGGATAAATATGTTGATCGAGTTCGAATATCCCTACAGTAATAAAGATTAATGGAATACAGAGTTATGGCCCTTAATTTTTTTTAACAAGGTGCACAATACCGCCAATTTCTCGGTAAGCGCAACAGATAAATCTTTGGCCATGGTTACCCTTTTAAATGACATTTTCTGGTGCCAGTCCTTTCGTTATTTCTCAAAAAAACTTTGAAAATTTGTAGGGGAATTTGTTTTAATGCCTGTCATTATCGCAGAAATCAAAGTTACAATTGTAAGCATGCAAAACACGTATTCAGGGGTTCTTGTTGAACTCTCAAAGAACGACGAAGCAATAATATACACACAGACTCATTTGTTTGCTTATAATAAAAACACTTCCCTAATTTTCCCTATCTATTCCAAGAGCCGCATCATCGACCATCAAAAGGTTCGACTGAAGGTGTTTCTGACACTGTTATTTCCTGAAATAAATAATATATCTTAAGCACGATTTATGTCTTTTCTCATCCCTGACTGTCCCTGCTGATATTTGTGCTCTGGGTTTGCCCCCTGTACTTTGTGCATCGAGCGACAATAACTAAAACGTTCAATCAGAGTTATGCACATATTTAGTTGTCAGAGATGTGGCAACAGCAGGGGAAGACCAAGACTCTAGCTGATCTGAATGCCGCTACCTTGTACAGCAGCATACAGTCAATCTGTCACCAAGTGATCATGAAGTGATAAAGTCTTGGAGGTTATATCCCATTAGTTAGACGTCCCATTAGTTAGACGTCCCAATTGTTAGACATGTTTATTTTGGCAAAGAGGGAATGTACCTACAGGTGTAATGGATCAGTCCTAATTAGATTAAAGTACTGAGTAGGGATAGGGGACTCACAGTTTAGGGAGTTTATATGTTATAATTTCGTTAAATTAACCTAAATTACCTTACTCTCAGCACAGGTTCAATAGGCATGAGATTAACAATGTAATCTATGGAGTAGCTTAATTGTCTTACTGTATGATTAGTTGAAGGAGTTGAGTTTAGATTATCTACTCATCAAACAAATAAAAATGATCTTGGGGTCTTTATCATTATCAGTATCGGTATGGCTGGTTTAAGGAAAGTAGAGTACATCACCTCTCGGCATGGAAGTGAGCTGTTTACTTAAAAGCTCCAACGACCTAACTAAGGCAGGCATACAAATAACCTTCTTGTGGATACCCGCCAACGTAGGAATATACGGTAATGAAAACGCCGATAAAGCAGCTAAACTATCCCTCAAAATCCCAGAAATAAGCTTAAACTTACCCATCTCAAAATCAGAAATTAAAAGTGTAAACAAGCAAAAAATCACCAAAAAATGGCATAACCTATATCTAAACTCAAATAGCCAAATCAAAAAAGTGCTCAGCAAACCACTAACCAAACCAAAAATTCTCCATCCATTCAAAAATATCGACAGAGTAATCACTAAACTCCAAACAGGACACACCAACCTAAATAACCACCTAAAAAATTTAAAAAACACACTACAGGTAACTGCCCACACTGCAAACAACCAGAAACCCCAGAACACGCACTCATCCACTAAACACACTACCTAACGCATCGAACCGCATTACAAACCACCCTCAATCTAAACAAGGCTCTAACTCTAGAAGCAATACTAAACCCACAAAATAAACTAGAAAACTTCAAGGCCTTAGGCGTATTCTTAATAAAAACGGAACTAATAAAACGCATCTAAAAACACTATAACCTACCAAATCAAAATCACATAAACAAACAAACATCCACCATACCCAGCTCCCTTAGTTCTCCTCCCCAATCCCATCGGCATCTATTCCAAATCTCAAAATTCCCAAATTCTATATAAGCAACCCCTAAAACCCCCCTCTTGGGTTGCACAGACCACTTTCGCCCCTTTCGGAAACACATTAAATGGCCTGGCCGGGCCCGTGTGCGAAATACGCATCAGTCGGAAAGCGCACGTTAAATCTCCAAAGTAAGTAAGTAAGTAAGTAAGTGAGCTGTTGATATTAGATGGATATATTTACATTTGAGATGTGTCGTCAAGACTCAACTCAACTCAACCGTTTAAAGTGTTGTTATAAGCTGTCTAACTATTGGGACGTCTAACTAATGGGAGGACACCGTCTTGGAGCAACACAGACACATCCTGTTCACGGACACTTGTTGCATTTCATGCGTGCTGACTGACAGGTAAGTTTCAATATCTATTCAATGCTTTAAATTAAGTAAAGCTTTTCATTCAATCTGGTAAAGGTACTTTGTAGCACAAGATAAGGTGTATACATTTTCAAGTTGAAAAATTAAAGTCTGGGAGTATTTGCAAAATGTTTGCAGATACACGATTTATATACTGAACCGCGAAAGAAACGTCAGCATGGATAGATATATGAGAAACCTTATTTGTCCAAACACTGTAAACATACTTTGAGACATATTAAAAAGATGAAGCTTGGCAGAGCTGATCATCAAGGTTGAAATTATAATGTCAAATGTACTTAAAGTGAAACACAACACTAGTCTCTGGGAAAATGGCATTACAAGTCAGTATCTCGTGTGTCCGCCACGTGCATTGATGACTGCCGTGCAAGGTCGATACATGGAATTGATGAGGCGGTTGGTGAAGGCCATAGGCACTTGAGCCCACACTCTGAGGAACGCCTGACGCAGTTCAGCTGCAGTTGTCGGTCTTGGTCGGAAGCTTGACCTATGAGACATATTATCGTCGTGAATGGTCGTATTCATAAACACTATTGTCATGAATGCTGTGATCGTATTTACAAAAGAAATCCAAGCATGGCTTCCGAAGTTAGAACCCAAGTAAATACTTACTCAAAGCGTATTTCAAATGCAGTTTTTTTGTGATATGTTCGAAAATTTGTTACGGCTTTCCGTAAGGTTTGAAATATGAGCATTTTCTTAGGCGGAGAAACACTTTTTAATTGTTCACTTCGGATTTCATGGGTATGTATTTGAATAGTTTTTATAGGCTCCTGTTAAAGATGAAGAAGGGAGATAGTTCTATGGATATACGACTTCTTTTTTTACAACGAATGCGACGTTTCGGTGCAGATACCAACGCCGTTAACAAGTCACTTCATGCATATAGAACCGTCCCCGGGGTACTCTAGTGACGTATTGTATTAACTAGGGACCCTCCTGAACACAAGACTGTCACCATGTTACTCTAGTGACGTATTGTATTAACTAGGTACCCTCCTGTACAAAAGACTCTCACCATGGTACTCTAGTGACGTATTGTATTAACTAGGTACCCTCCTGTTTACAAGACTGTCACAATGTTACTCTAGTGACGTATCGTATTAACTAGGTACCCTCCTGTACAAAAGACTGTCACCATGTTACTCTAGTGACGTATTGTATTAACTAGGTACCCTCCTGTACAAAAGACTCTCACCATGTTACTCTAGTGACATATTGTATTAACTAGGTACCCTCCTATACACAATACTGTCACCATGTTACTCTAGTGGCGTATTGTATTAACTAGGTACCCTCCTGTACACAAGACTGTCACAATGGTATTCTAGTGACTTACTGCAATAACAGGGTACCCTCCTGTATACCCGGGGTACACTGATATTCGTTGTTAAGCATTTTAAAAACCAATACTTAAAGGGGCACATGGTTGTTGCCTTTGTTATTGTTTTTCCCGTGAGTACCCGGATGATGTAGCAGAACCGTAGACAAGTTAGCAACCCGTGCTGCGCAATTTGTAAGCGCATTTGTCATTTTTATTGATAGTATAAGGGCGTATTGTCACATTGAACAACAAAATGAAATACAGTTTTGGAGATAATGAGGAATGTAGGTATCTTTGTGGGTAGCATCGGTAATGGTGACGAAGTCACTTGCTTGGTAATTGTGCGATTTTCGTTTACACTATTTTGACTTGCAAAATAAAGTAAATATTTCTCCTGAGCATTGCTTATTTTATCGTGTTTATATTTTTACAGTTAAAATGCGCAAAATGTTCACTTAGGAAATTAATTAAACGCCTGAATATTCAATTATTTTACAAATTGACTGAAAAATATGTCAAACTGTATTATTATGACAACGAATTCAAAACATTTTTATGGTTAATATCATCACCAAGAGACTGAAAATGTTACGATGAAAAGTACATTTCTATATTGTTTGGCTTCTAATCCTACATAATCTAATGTGATGTTTTTAGGTCCCATTTATCGTCTTAATCAATTTTGGTCAATCTGTTAGAGAAATGGACAGATTTTTCAGTCAAAATGACTGAAATATTTACACATTTTTATAAATTGCCTGAGAGAATCACATTTTACAAATTGACTGTAATATATACACGCTTCCCCCCCAAAAAGACTTGTGAAAACAACGTCTATCGCGCATTGAAGAATTTCCCAACCAAGACGTAGAGGAACAAGAATGAATCTGTCCCATACTACTGCAAATTCAATTCTTTATTTCAGTATAAAGGCCATAGGCCCACGTACAAATACTCATTGAAAACTACAGTATGAGGCAGATGACAGAGGGTGTTAAGTGACAGTATTTCGGATTGCAAGTGCTTCCAGTATATACTTAACACAATTAGTTACAATACTAGTGCGGTTACAAGATAATAGTGTATTATATTTAAATAAAGTAGGATTGGAAGAGTAATAAATAGGTAAATACTTATTTCTTAAATATCTGTATCATGGGCAGACAAGCATAAAATGAAACTCATCTTCAATTTCCTGTAAATTACAAAATCTGCATTGCCTATTACAGTACTCTATACCGCATCCTCTACCTAAATTTACCATCAATGGCAACTCGCCAACTCTTAACGAACAAAACTACTGCAAATGAAGGAAAACAAAATGCGAATATCATAATTACAACCTACCAAATGTATGTGTATAATTTTAGGCGGCTTCCTTGTTCGAGGAATATATCCGTGAATATCCACACAAAGGAACAATATCCCAAACGTCTGTAGCTGTACAAAGAAACGTATTCGATGTCACGTGTCTCTGTAACAATCAAATATTTTTAAATATATATATCGTTTCGGGATATTATCACCCGTGTTCGTTTCTCAACTGATCACTTAGATTGTTTCAGCTGTTTCACATAGGTGTCAAGTCTCAAAGGTCGGCTGAGAAAGCCCACGTGACGACTGTTTTCATAACGTCCACGGTTCCTAAAAAAATCCATTGAGTTAGATAACAATGAGCAATCAATCAACGTATTTGAACAAAGTATGTTGTTTTTACATCGGCACCTCACGCAAGGACATGAGTGTATTCCCTTTGTTTTAGTAAACCTAGACATGTAAACACTCACATATCCACCGTGCAAGATAACAGTGCAAGATAACAGTGATTAATCAATCAATGTATTTTCTGTTAATCCTTTGATGACTACGAATGATCCGCTGATTTACAAAAAAAGTAAATCAACTGATCATTCACTCTTGCTGG